ATGATTGATTCGTCCTTTCCTACAACTTATTCCGTTATTTTAAAAGCTTCTTAAGGAACGAATGGATCATAAAAACCAAAACATATTAAAGTGTGTAAATAACATTATCAAACAAAACATCAAAATATTTAATAAAAGCAATACTCCAATCTCAAGCAATCTGACAACAGTCACAGCTCAATGTTCCTGTTGTTTTTTGCAAACTGTATGTATTTTTCACAAAATAACCTCCATTTCCTAAAATATCTAAATCATTCATTTTCAAAGTGATGTCGTTATGATTAGATCACGCCTCTAAATACTATGACTGTTTTAAACGCTGAGATGTTGGAGGACTTAGAATCTACCTACCTAAGCATGTGCTTCCTGTCCATGGTTGACTGCATACACACTGGCAAGTAGCATTATCTCTGGTGCCACCATTCATGCAGTTATTAAGTTGGCATGCTAGAAAACGATTAACCAAGTTGAGCGTGAAAGCTTCCACATATTTTACTGCCTCATAATGAAGTGCTGTAACAGAGGTGCACCCAAGGAGGGCGGGGGAGGGACTTGAGAGCTTTTCAATTTTTTTAAGCACATTTTTGGACAAAATCCTGTGGGCTATATAAGCACTGATGACATCTTTGACAGGATGGCCATAGCAAAATGCAATACTGTTTTTGCCCTGCGGAAAGTAGGCATCGTGGGACATTAATTAAGTTGTGTTAGCCAGCCCCCTTCAATGCCACGGGGTGTGTCACTGTAATCAGTTAATGCCCGACTGCAACTGCAGTTCGGAACATTTGACCTGTTTCAAACTGATCACTGAAAACAATCAATGATAGACAATACATTAGCTTGTTTCTTTGGTCCTTGAAATCATAGCGTGCTACTTGAGGTCAGGGACTTGACTTAAGGGCGAATTGTTAGGTGGTTAAAAGGCTAAAGCGACCACAGTTGTAAGCAGGAGGTCGTGGGGTTCATATGCTTGGAAATTCCAATATTAAATAAAGGAATAAATATCTGCTTGGCCAATCACAAAAATGAACGCTGATAATGCCTTCGCCTGTGGCTCGGACATTAGTTGCATCTATACGGCATTATAATGGCTTTAATATTCCCTTACCAGTTTCACAGTTTTCGCCCGAAAATCCATCAGGGCATGCGCATGTGTATCCACGGATGCTGTTTGGCATGTTAACACAAGTAGCTCCATTTGTGCACTCATTACCAAGATCGCAGGGCACTTTATGAAAAGGAAAGAAATAAGCAATATATCTAAAATGCACTATCAGATATGTAGGAAATATCAAATAGGGTTGTCAGACCAACTAGTGGGTAAATAATTAATTGATGAATTTTATCTGTGGCAATGCATGCCCTAGCATTCTGGCATAAAATATATGAGAAATACCTCACCTGTTGTTTGACACTGCAGTCCAGTGTACCCTCGAGCACATAAACACAGGTATCCTGTGCTTGTTGTTGAATTAACACTGCAGGTTGCACCATTCATACAAGGACTGTTGCCACATGGTCCTGTTATCAAAAAAATCAGAAAGATAACGTTTTCACATAGGAGCAGAAGACAAAACAATGGCCCAAGGTTGAAGCTCAATGCATTCCCCAAATAGTATCAAACCCAAATTGGAGTACGTGGTACAATCTTTCACCAACGTATGCCAACCTCCAAGGAGAGACCAAATTTGGTGTGCATGTTTCATGGTCACAGTCCTGGCCAAGTGGGTAAGGATAAGGAAAATGGTGGCTCAAGCCCATTTAGTGATGCTCTCTCTTATAGACTAACATATTTGTGTCCATTTATATGGGTGGGAAAATGTTTAGTCTTGGTTTAATTTCTGGTTTTTCAGGTTATTAGGGGTTGAGTTTTGTTCTAGAAGTCAATAAAAGTCATAAGGACTGTTGTGATTTTGTGATCCTGGGGCGTTTAGGATTGTTCGACATTGGGAAAATTTTTCATTTCCTTGGGTGAACAGGAATGCATTTTCATCGAGATCAGGACTGATCAATTCCGCCAATAAGAACCTTGGCTTTGGCCTCATATTGGGCAAGGAACATCCAATCAATTTGACTTGATCAACATACGAGCACAAATGGGTGCAAATTAAAACTGTTTAAAAAAACCTTTGTTAGATTATCTTCAACACGGGAAAATAGGAATACCCAAGACCACAAAATTGCTGGGAAAATGGTCCGATTCGGGTCCTGCCACCGAAGTCCATGCCTCTACATATTTCAGAATCAAACAAACTGGCAAACTGTAAAATCAAAATGCCCAGGCATAAAATATGGACAATCATTCTTACCAATTTCACAGTTTTGTCCACTAAAGCCCAACAGGCAGCTGCACACATATCCTGCAGGTAACGAGTTGTCTTCTGCACACGTTCCACCATTGGCACACGGAGCTGCATTACAATCTGATACAAAATCAACAAATAGTAGAAGATGTTTGCTGTGCAACTGTAATCCCTTTCTTGTATCAAACTGACATGAGAACTATCTCCGAAACTACTAACGCATGACAAAAAATTACCGAATACATCACTCTTGCTTGAGGGAAGCTTATGCCAGGCAGTAATCCATTCAATTTGTTGCCCAAGTAAACGGCTTTGCAGATCACACCAAAGCAGTCAATATTTATATTATATGCGTGTACAGTTCTTAGGCTTATAGAACATAACCCATAGAACAGCACACACAAGATAGATCAGCCTCAGGCCACCATGTTTCTATTTATTGGATGATGAACATAGCAAATTTTGCTGAAATTTTGCTGGGTCAGAGGATGGAAAATATTGTTAGAAATAAAACTCTGAATGTTCATTTTTTAATTAAGTAGTCACGGGTTGAAGGGGAAAAAAGAATTAAGTCAATTATTTTTCAAAAACATAAAACACTGTTAGAAAGCAATGAATGTCAATTTTTTCTTTTTTTCTAAACCTGCATGGTGGGTTCATAACCCAACAAGTAGAAATGTTGGCATCAGTAGTGCACATCTCAAGTACACTGTACTTATGTACTTCTCTTTCAGCTATCGTGTACTATTGATTTAGTTCTCTGGTGTGTGAGAGGAAATGGTACATGCACTCACTAGGATCTCCAATAATGAATGTGGATCTGATCAGGCGGTGATCTGGGGCCAACTGACCCCCAGTGGCTCCAGTAAGCTGGCTCAGGAAAGCCATGATGATTGTCTCTTCCGGCTGGGCACTTTGAAGATTGATAACAAATCTCACGAGCACTGATAATTCAGACGCCAATGAAATATCAGAGACGGTGACATCCCCAAAGTTACTGGAAAGGGTTGAGCCCCGGAAGGCTGTTTCAATCTGAAGAACAATGAAAAATTCAACAAAAAAACAAGGGCTGAAGAATTTATATCTGCCAAGCATCTTTTTTCAAAAGTTGAATTCATATTAGAGAGCACGCAAGATCATTACTTGCAGGCGGTGCAATTTTACGGGGAGTGGTTAAGGGAAACCAAAAGTGGCTGCGAAAGAAACCAAAACTTACGGACTGTTTCAAGTCAGATCGGTAAGTTACATAGCCAGTCTCAAGGTCGAAGGAAGGGCTCCCAACAAGAAGGCCACTGACGATTTCAAAGATTGCAGACGCATTGTACGAGACACCAGCTACAAGGTCAAATGAAAAAGGGAAAGTATTCCTCAACTGTATGCACTCCATGCATATGCAAGTGCAATTACGCAGTCTTACTGAGGGGAAGAGCAAAACGCTCGGACGGATATGCATGTCGCTATATTGGACATGAATCTTGGAATTGATGACCCTTGGCACTTGGACATCCAAAAACTAAATTCTGATTTTGTTTCAAGATTAACTTTAAGTTCAGAATGTTAAGTGCAGACACATAAACCCAATCAAATGATACCATATCAGTTTACGCCAAAAATTTAATCCAACCAATTCTAACCCTCTAAACAGAAGCCTATTTTTATTAGTAACAGTATATCATACATCACAAACTGTGCCGTTACCAAATATCTTTGCGAAGACAATTGCCACAAATGCATTACTTCAATTACATGTGCTTTATAGACAAACGAATCCCACACTACAGTGCACTAGGATTAAAAACCTGTGCTTACCAACTATATCAAGATATTCATGAATAGTATCACAAAAAGTCAGGGCATACCTTGACACGTTGTGTTTTCAAGATAATATCCCATGATACACTGACAATCAAAGCTTGCCGGTAAATTGACGCACTCTGAGTTGTCTTGTGAGGCACATGGAGTTCCCTGATTACATTCATTCACATCTGCAGAGAAACCAATGTCTCATTACTTGCAACTGCACGACTGAAGATTTGAAGTAGGCCAATTTGTCACCCAACACCACGAGCTGACACTCACCCCCAAGTGGGAGTCAGTAAGTAAAAACTGCGTTACTCATCAACAAATTTGGTTTCACAAACTGACACCCGGTAGTGGGCACACACGTGCACTGGAACTGACGCGAAATAGCCTGATTTTCGACTTTTCAGACTAAAACCCAAGCTCAAAAAGACAGCACAACTCAAGGAAAAATACTTTGAAAGTCTAACATGAATTTAATCCATCTGTATACTTTTTGGATTGCACAAAAATTCAATGAAAAGTCGTTTTAACTGGTGAAATTATGACCAGTATTAGTTCATTAGAATTAAAATGCACGGAGTGCGTGCTGGAAGTGCCGCACTGTACCGAGTGTTATTTCGTGAAAACGAAAATAACTCACTTTTCTAAAATTCGTACAAATGAGCTCACCTCGTGTTGAACTGAGTATCAGTTGATGGTTTCGGTTACAAATTAAATATCTCTTTATAACAAGCTGTTCTCGGGCATGAGATTAGAATTATCACTCAACTTACCTACACACTGATTCATATTCTTCTCATATCCAGTTAAGCATTCACACGTATAGCTTCCGTTGATGTTGTTACATACAGAGACTGATACAGTGCATGTATCCAATTCCAACGCACACTCGTCAATATCTACAAAGGCAATCATCAAGCAATAAAGCTAAAGCAATGCAGGAAAAGTGCATAGTTGCAGTCTTGCGGTCTCGTCACAAGAAGGCCCGAATAGTCTACATGACATATGACGACAATGAAAAGCCTTACTTGCCCAGGGCAGCATCAAGATAGGGTGTATTTTTCTTAGCAACATTTTCTCTTTTGGTTGGTACTGTATTTCACTGGTTAATGACCATACACTTTTCATTTAATTCACACATTGTACCAGAAGATGATCATAGGTCATTCCTTTCATGTCGTTCTATTTATATATAATTTGGCAGAAAAAAAGGCATGATGAAGGGATTTTACTTGGCCGTATCTGAAATCAGCTTCCACAGCTAAATACAGCTGCACTGACTGTCATCATGTCTCCCTGTATTTCCAAAGGAGCAAAGACCTGGATGTGCATGCCGTGGAACACTCCTTACCAATATGGCTCTAAGGCATACATTCAGAGTCCACTTGAGACTGACTGATACTGGACAACTTCTGACGGACTTTCATAAAAGGACTTGTGGTCAACTTGAACACAACTGTTGTCAATAACTATAGTGCTGTAGTCAAGACCCCTTGATGAAGACCATTGAAAGAACCCAAAAAGATCATCACAATACCAACAAACTTCTGAAACCAAGAGACTTCTGAATTCAAGTCTCATGCTATTCTAATGAACTGCAACAAAAGCAGTCATTTGTCAGTGTTCACCCTGTGACTTGTGACTGGTCTTGTGATGGTCTTGTCTTGTGTCTGGTCTTGCAGCTGGTCTTGTGTTTGGTCTTGTGTCTTGCATCTGGTCTTGTGACATGTCTTGTGATTGATCTTGTGACTGGTCTTGTGTCTGATCTGGACCACAACACTGTCAAAAAAACTGCAGCTGCTACTTGTGAATGTTCTTGTGTCTAGTCTTGCGCCTGGTCTTGTCTTGTGACCGGTCTTGTATCTAGTCTTGTGTCCGGTCTTGTGACTGTTCTTGTGTCTGATCTTGTGACTGGTCTTGTGTCTGGTCTTGTGTCTGGTCTTATATTTGGTCTTGTGTCTGGTCTTGTACCTGGTCTTGTGTCCCGTCTTGTGACTGGTCCTGTGTATTGTCTTGTGTCTAGTCTTGTGACTGGTCTTGTGACTGGTTTTGTGTCCAGTCTTGCGTCTGGTCTTGTGATGGTCTGGTGTACAACACTCTCAATAAAAACTATAGCATGATTTAACTATTTAATGTTATGACCAGTTTACCATCACACTGCCGGCCGGAAATCATTCCTGGGGTTGATACGTAGCCATCCATGCAGGTGCAGGTGAAACTACCATCGTTGTTAAGGCAGTCAGCCCTGCCTGCAGCACACTCATGACTATTGCTTGTACATTCATTAATATCTAAGAAGTGGATCCACAAAGATGAAGGAAAGGAACATTTTAACATTGATATATACCATTGGGGTTTTATGTATGTTGATGGAATGAACTGTACGCAGTGGGGCAATTATTGATAAACACTGTTTCATTTTGTAGTCCATCTGCTTATTAAATGTTAGAGTACATCCATAAGTGAGAGTATACCTCCTTATTATAATTTTATCTGCACAAACAATAACTTCAATTAAAGATGGCAAAACTTTCCTGAAATAAAGTGTGGCTTAACTTAATGGGGGGGTCATTTGATTTCCTGTGTGATAACTATAAGATCTTTGGCAAATTGGGTATAGGGCACCACTAGAAGTGACAGCAGCCATACCTTCGCAAAATGTGCCATTGCCTTGGTATCCTTGGTTACAGTCACACTGGTAGCTCCCCAAAGAATCGGTGCACATTGCCAATGAGTGGCAAATGTTGGGATTCTCCTCACATTCATTGATGTTCACGCACAAGACACGACCGTCGCCACGGAAACCGTCATCACACACACAGAGGTAGCTCCCATCAGTGTCCGTGCATGTCGCATTTGCCAGACAAGGGCTCATAGCTGAACTACACTCGTCAATATCTGAGGGGAAAAACCAAGTTCTTTTTGCACCCATTTGATGTTGGGAAAGACCCTATGGTGGCATCCTCAAAGAATAACTCTCAAAAGAAATTATGAGTACGAAATTAGAAAACGATTCCAGAAGCACAACATCGGAAAACGATTGCAGAAGCACAACATTGGAATATTGCCAAATATATACAGAGTTTCACTTGGCATGGAAGAAAACTGCTCTACTCAGGTTTCAATGTATTAAGTAATGAAAATTTTAAGATGTGGACTCTGCATGCTGCTTGAAGTTTGTAGGTTTTACGGTGTATTGGAGTATAAAAGCACTACCCAAACTACAGTTTATGGTTGATTTAAGGGTTGTCTTTGAACCAAATGAATAAAGCACCAGGTGTCATGGCCAGTTCTGTAAATCTGCTATTAAACAGCATGCATTTTTTTCAAGACACAACTGCTCACTCAGTCCAACTTACTTGAACAGACTGTACCATTGCCTTCATATCCACTGTCACAAGTGCACAGAAACGAACCCGGACGGTTGAAGCACAACGCATTCTGATCGCAGCCGGCAAACAAAGGATCATTTATTGGCAGCGTGCATTCATCAATATCTGGGAATAAATGGAAAATGCAATTGAAACACCCAATTTAAAATTGACAGAATTTGAAACTTTGATTGCTAGGCAGCTTGAAAAAGTGAACTTTTTTTTAAATTGTTGGAGTTAATTACTCAATCTCATGCTGAGATTTACTGCGGTGTCCAGAAAAATTTCTCTTCAAAGCTCCTTGCTAAAAGTAAAATGAAATTAGGTCATCACTACTCGAACAATTTTATCCCACAAGTACACAGTCAAACACGAATAACAAGCGCACTGATACGACAAAGCCATGTTTATGAAAAGGAAAATATTAGTTCCCAAATCTATGTTTTTCTTTCTTTTCTATTGCTGATAGTACAGGGTACTTGTTACCGTTAAAGCCCCAAGGACCAGTGTTCTACTGTAGTACCAAGCTAACACTGCAAGGTGGCCCCTCATTTTGGAATTTGCAGACAGTAGGCATTTACTGTAACACACCTGAGCAGCTTCGTTGATCATTGTTCAGTTCAAACCCAGCTCGACAAAGGCAATCGTATCCACCTACAGTGTTGTTACATTGTACCATTGCAGCACAGTTATCGGTACCTGTCGCACATTCGTCAATATCTGAAACAACAGTACATTTGAAAGTGAGACAAAATCACAAGGAATGGCTTAACCTTTGTTACAGAAAAGCAACAGATGCTAAGGATAGAAACATAACCTTCCAACATTTTGGCCAAGGATTACATTTCTAAGTTCAGCATATAGACGGTGCACTCTTGATGAGTTTGAAGGACTGTTGGTGTCCAATATCTACATCACATATGCAAAACAAACACAATCATCACTCAAACATTATGTTGTGGTCTCTGGTTTATCAATTGTTCATGTTACCTTCTTGACAATCAATTTTGCTGATTTGATAAACTAACCCCTCAATTACAGTTTAGTGATATCTTTACTTTAAATGCAAATTAATCACCTTCAGAATTGTTCCTTCACAACAGTTTTATTACACAAACAAAATGTAACCCTTTGGTTTTCCCTCAAATCCAACTGCTTTTTTCATCAGTTTTTAGCACATACAAAAATTGGAAGAGTTCTTGGCTAATTTTTTTCGAACACAAACTAAAAACCTTTGCTTTCTTTCTTGCCATCTTCAGCTGTACCTGTAATCTTTAGGATGACATACTGGTCTTGAACCCATTTTGAGTGGTAATTATCACAAAGGAAAGCTCAGATTATACCCTCTCTGCATAAAAGTGAACCTGATTGTGAATTTGACTTAATAATTAAAGGACTTTGACATATCTTCAAAAGTTGCAAATTCTATCAATGTATGTTTGTTTGTTTTTATGTTGACATCTGTGCTATACGCTTTTGCAATGAGCTCAAAACCGACCCTAACTTGGCTGCTGCACAGGATTATGGTAAAAATTTATGTATGTAGCTTTATTAAACTCCATGACAAGGCTTGTTACACTGCCAACCATTGGCATCACAGGGATGTTTTCCACGGGAAAAACACCTTTTTTCAGGGGAGGGAGGACATTCATCTGCTAAATATGATAGACACTTAATTCATGGCTGAAGAGGGTCATTTTTGAAGGTTATTTAATGGGTAATATTTTAATCCCTTTATTTTTCCATTTCTGTTTCATTTCCACCCCCTTTTACCTCATATTTTATTTTTAATTTTTTTTTGGCAGTAATTAGCATCCCCTTTGCCCCTTGGCAACACCTACATGTATGATAACAAAATAAACAGCGGAATGCAAGTAAACATGCTGGTCTTACCTTCACACACCATGGGGTCAGTAGCTATTTCATAACCACTGTAGCACAGACAAGTCTCAACATTAGATCCATTCAAATAACAGTCACCGTTGATGCACATGGCAGATGCAGAGCAGTTGTTCTGAGCTAGAAGGTAAAAAACAGTACACGACAGTTCACCCCCAGACACAGGATAATGGGCATCGAGCTGAACCAAGAGAGGGCACTATTTTTCAGCAACAGAGGCTCCTTGGTCAGAACTCATGAACTTCGCTGGTTCACCAACGAAAAGGTAAATTAAATGTCCACCACTCGAGTCTATCACAATACAAGTCCTGCAAGTTCATCACAAGTCATTCAGTCTTAAGCCAAGTCATAAGCTATTCAAATGAACTGTTACAAAAGGGTTCACTGCTGACCCGGTTACTCATAAAGAACTTTCTCATTAAGGACTTGGGCTGCGATGGGATTTTTGAAGGGACTTATGTGATGGACTTGCACAACAACACTGGTTCTTATTTAGCTTTGCTCCAACTGAATTTGTAACACATTGCAAAATAAATTATCTGTTCCCTCAATTCAGTCACAGAGATTAGAAAATCTGACTTTGCTAAACAGACGAATATCCAATGAGCGAATATGTAACTGAATTACCCTGTTGCATCTAATATCTTTCTCTTGGTGAAAAAAATGTATATCTACTGCACTGAATTGGGAAGACTTCCCGGAAGGAAATCTTGGAAGGAAATATGAATGTGATGCCAATAAGACATTCAGCATCCATTAACTTCAACCCGGAATGATATGAAAAATGCAAAACAAGCTTCGCTTACCCACACAACTTCCATCTGGTTGCTGAGTGAATGCTTCATTGCACGTGCACTTAAATGAACCTATGTTGTTGACACATTCCTGCCGGCAGCCGTCAATATCTAGTGCACATTCATCAATATCTGCAACAAACGAATGGCATCTAGAGTAACTGAATTCTGTACGAATGGTGCCGTGGCACACCTATCATCAATCTGAGCTACTTGGACCACTACACAGGGAATCTGTCCATGCCCATCCCTTGTAATATTCATAGCCCTTGGACTCATGCCCAGGAATCCATAGTATTGTTCCTCTTTAAAATTTTGAGTTCAGGCAGGGAACTGTAAGAAAAAAAGAGTTGGGGGTAAAAATGTTTTCTTTAGGGGGCAAGTTACTTCTGTAACCTGTTATCATTTTTCTGGGCCATAAGGCTACATTATGGGGCTTTTTACATGCTTTGGAAAGGAAGAGAACTGAAAAAGGGCCAAAAATTGCTTTTCTCCCATTTTTAGAATTTTTTTGGAGGCTGGGGCACCTTGATGTCTCTTTTATTTACACTATTCTTGTCCTCCCATCATCATGGGGACAGAGGTACGACATATCATATGATAACTCACCTTGGCAATCCAGACCATCCCCTGTGAAGCCAACATTACATTGGCAGCTGAAGCTGCCAATGGTATCAGTGCAGGTCGCATTTACGTTGCAGACTGGTTGCGACCTCTGGCATTCGTTCTCGTTAGTACACGTACGTCCATTGCCAGCCCAGCCATCATTACAGGTGCAGTTGTATGACCCATTAGTGTTGGTACAGTTTGCTTGGGTGTGGCAGTCATCAAGACTTCTACTACACTCGTCAATATCTACGACAAATTCAAATGAATTCTACAAGTAATATTTCATGGTACATTAACCTGAGGGTCATTGCAGGAATAAACTGCCAATAAATGATCCCAAAAATCAAAATACAGAAACAATCAAGGGTGACAAAGGCTCACACATTGGTTTGTACACATTTTGCAACTTTCACGAGAAATTCATACAGCAGGCATTTTCCTTATCTTTCACTGATGGCCTTTCATTGGTGTTACTTGTCAGACCTGCATTATGGGTCAAAAAAGACTGGCCAGTCGGTAAGTGAAGAATTTATTTGTTCAGTATGGACAACCAGTACAAAAAATATTTACAGTCAAGAGCATGGCAACACTGGTCTAAACCAGCAGAATAATTCCTCAGGACTGAACGTGTGCAGAATCAGTGGTGTAACTATAAGAGATGGGGGGACCCCTCTGTGCACCCCTTGGTGCACCCCCAACATTTAGCCCTATTACGCCACTGTGCAGAATTAGCAGGTATACCTTCATCTTACTTACAAGGGGTTTTAGTCATTGATTCTTAAGCAAGGGAACACAGGGTCCAAATGTTGTGTTGCTGAAACAGCAATACTACAAATTGTGCTCCACTGCTGGAGAGCTTTGTCTTTGTATGCAATTTCTACCCACCTCGTCGCTCAAAAAATACTAAGTCTGCTTCTGTGACATGCCAAGTTCACTCACAATAGAATGCCTAAGTCATTTGTCTTCCAAATGGCATAAAATAAAATTACCCTCAAGAAGCAAAATCTACTTGTCCATCAGGGATCAGAAGTTTAGTAATATTACTCGAGTCATACCTGCACAAGTGAATCCACTGCCTTCGTAGCCTTCATTGCATGTACAGCGATAAGAACCAATGGTGTTACCACAGGTAGCATTGCTGTCACAGCCATTTACTCCAGTGCATTCGTTGATATCTAAAAATCACCATAATGAACAAAGATGTCTGACGTAAAGCAGCAAAATGAAGTGCACAATTTCCTACGAGCACCATGCCTTCCAAGAAACTCACAGAATCTACATGTAAGAATATGAAATGCATTAAAAGCAACAAAGGAAATTCGAAACGTTCTTACAAAGAGAATTATCAAATTATAAATTCTCTGCAGGAATCATGGTATTTTGACTCAAGTCACACGTGGACAAAATTTGACACAAATTAATGATGGTACCGGTTTGTTCATGCAATCTACCCTGCAAGTGCATGATGTTAAACTAGAATTGAAATCATTTCTGGCTGTTACAACTGCACCCTCAATAAACTCTCAATACTGTTTCTTCTATTCCCGAAATGTAATTACAAACCTTGACAGAATGTGCCATCACCAGTGACATCCATGAAGCCTTCATTACAGATGCACTCAAAGCTACCCACGGTGTTGTTGCACATGGCATCATCAGCACAGTTGTCTATCCGAAGGTCACATTCATCAATATCTGGGAAAAGATACAAACCACTTGATAAAAACTTGTGAAAAAGAGACTGAATATAGCAATATCCACAAGATATTTAGTTTCAAAGTTTTGCCATACAAGTGTCCAGAAATCACAGACTTCGACAGGAGCTGTCTAAAGTTTCATTTAAACAACCTTAAAGGTGGGGGTGACTCTGACAAAGCATCTCATAGATGCTACTCAGAAGTGAAACGCATATGTTCTGTGTCAAAGAATTGAGTTAAGACTGTAACTAACATTGCAATCCAAATTTACTGAATGACGATAGTGCATCCTTTTCATTGCCACCAACACAGTTCCTGGCCAAAGATAAGATAGAGAAATTTCAGAGTAAAGCCAGGGGATCGCACATATACCATCTACTACATCCTACATTCCACTGTAGCTTCCATAATTAAAATGAGGTTATCTACATATGAGGCAGAAAAGAATCCTTTTGTAGATTGAAACGAAGACTGCTTTAAACAAATTAAAAGGCAGCATCCTGTATGTGATACGACAGAACACTCTCACAGTTCACCATCACAGCAAGGCTGACATAGCTAGTTGGCAATATCTTATGAAGATAAAAAAATGAAAACAAATATCATACCAATACAACGTTTCCCATCTACAAACAAGAGATATCCGGAGTTGCAGCTGCAGTTGAAGCTGGCGAGGCTATTGAAGCAATTCTGGTCACAACCTCGTCCGTTACTACTGGCAGGCTCATCTCGGTACAAAACACACTCATCAATGTCTGCCAAAGAAATTCAATGAAATTATTGGTCGCTGTTTCTCCTACTGGCACTCCTTAAATCTAAAATCACATTCATAGCTGGCCCAGGAGACTCTGGTTTATAATACTGTCTCACTGAGACGGGTCAACAATTGGACAAGTACTCCCACATTTTCCTTTACGTAAGACATTCCTCACTGGGATTTTAAATCACAATGAAATAAATAAATATACTAGTATTGCGTAGATGTTGAAAAGGACCTATTTACACCTGAATGAAAACTCAAGTGATAAAAATAAGCAGTTGTGGTTAAAGATTCTTTGTTAGGCTCGATTTTTTCACCTTTTTAAAAAGACAAAGGAAGTTGACTAACTGTTTCAGTGTCTGAAAACAGGACTAGTTGTCTCATGCTTCAGACTTGGATTGCATGTGCTGATATTAAACTTTTGGAAATATGCACACACAGCAAGAGAGTCCCAAAGCTTGGGAATGAACTTCCAAATCAAGAAATTGAAGATAATTGACAAACTGTTTCTCAATGTCTCTTAAAAATTTAACTATCTGGAGAAATGGTCCACAGCCTGCAAAGTTGCCACACACCAATGCATATCCTGCCATCTCCCTCCAATCCTGCTGGACAAGATCCACAGGTGAAATTCAGGGATGGTGGGTCGTCATCAAAACAAGCCACTCCTGGATAGCATGGGTTGTCTCCACAGGCGTCAAAGTTTACCTCGCAGAATTCCCCTGACCAGCCGGGCGTACAGTTACACAACACCACCTTGATTTAAAACAGAATGCTAAGTTTCCATAATGTCCAGTATAACAACTGGGCAAAGGTCAGATAGCCATCCCCTGGCAGGTAAATTCCATAACTCATCATAGACCCCATGATTCTGGCATCTATTGTATATACATGAAAATTCATGTAACTTTGAGCATTCCTTTCAAAAAAGATGTTTTTGGAGTAGATTTGTATTAAAGGCCACCTGACCAATTTGGATAATGGAAATATAAACTTTGAAGCTTTTCACCGTGAAGGTAGCAAATGGTGGAAATATATTGCAATTATTGTGCAAGCCATATTTTACTTAGTTTACCAAAGGGGCATTTCTTTTGCCATAATGAAATGCTAATTGACAGTTGCCTAAATGATTTTTAAGTTCACGTAAACGCTTACAATGTAAAAAATAGGCTGTTAAGTGTAGGACTGATTTGTTATTTGGGATACTTGGTATATTGGCTAAGGCCAAGACTATAAAAATGACAGTGGTTATCCAAAATGACAGACACTTACACCAAAGCGGTCTGCCATAACGTTGGTTCCAGACACAAACTGATCATACAGACAGGTGGCATTGTTCATGCAACCGCAAAGTTTCACAACTAGTTCTAGTGTAGCATTGGCACTCCCGTCACTTGCTAAGAAACCCAGGCTGACCGCTGACCTGTCAACCGGTGTCCAAGTGAACAGCCCTCCTACAAAAAAGTACACAGTTTTGGAGTTGAGTGAATAAAAGCCCTGCTCTGGTATTGCACTATTTTAGTATATGCTGCTCTTGCATTTTTATGTGACACAAAGCTTGCCTTAACTCGGTGTATATGAAGAAATTCTGTTTGTAAACTTTCACCCACTGGACATCAAAAAGTAACTAAAATAATAAATTTTAACAAAAGCAAGTGGGAATACCTACAATGATAAGTGATGGTAAGTGTAGACATTTTATTTTGGCTCCAATGAAGACTGAATTGATGACAGAAGTCCTTGCAAATTAACTTCCAGTGTTCTATGATGTCATTTTCAATGGACTGAATTCTGGAATGTACGCAACTTTCGGAGTTCAAGGAAACCTTTAGTTTGCCACTTTTTACTGACCTGGAGAGGTGAGAGATGCACCTGGAATTATTTCCAGCAACTCAAATGAAATTTGGTCCCCATCAGGATCGACAGCTTCTAGTTGCAATGTAAAAGGCTGCCCAACGACCACCTCAATTTCCTCAATGATCAGCGTAAAGTTGGGAGGGGAATTGGCTAGGGGAAAAAGTAGATTTGTTAGTGTTTACAGTGAGGACAATTCACAGAAGAAGCATGGTTTTTATCGCATCGGGATCATTAAAAACCCTGTCAGAGAAAATAACGAGACAATTTTTTTTATCAAGCAACCGATCTTGTAAATGCATCTGAATGTTTGATAAAACGCAGATGTACTAAAGGGAAAGGTGGGTTAAACCTCATCTCTAAGGCTCAAGTGGAAAGTGAAAATGGAGAAGATGGCACGACTATTGTTGCCAGTCGAGCCCCTTTCCTGATAATCTAACCCCCTCCCTCTTCAGGTAAAACCTAGAGGGGCCCCTGATATATTCATATTCAATGGCTGTTGGACGTTCATGCACGCGGTTGGATCGCCAGATGTTTAAACCCTGCATACTTGCAGTCATGAAATCAGCAGTATTCTGATCGTTGATTTCCATGGATGCCATGCCGACCGCTTCATTTCCCGTTGCCAAGGTATCGTACAAGCACACTTTGTTTTGTCCGCACGTATCTCGAGCAGTCTGGAGCGAGACTGTATCAGCTTCATTAATGAGATCGTCCAGGAACTTTGGTATGAAAGTCAAATCATTCAGCTCTGCCCAGCTCTCATCAGGAGAAACATAATAGAAGAGAGAATCACTCTCTGTTGTACGCCCTGTACATAAGAAGTCAAAAGATTATACACAAGTTCAATTCATACCACAAGTCAGCCAGATTTGCAAAATTGTCAGTGTATTGGTGCTGCAAACACTCCTTGCATAATCACTAAAGTGTTTTGAGTTCAACCTGTGTATCCTGCAGTAAGACAGAATGTTTAATAGACACAAGTGACAAATTATTCAAACAACAAACAGAGGGATGTGACAAGAATCTTTTGGCTCTTTTTGTAACTGTTGCTTTGGTTCTTTACTGTTTAATGACTGAAACAGATAACATTGCTGTTTGCACCAGCACTACCAAAGCAGGTATTAACAAGGGAAAATCACAATTTTACTCACAACATATAACATTATTTATTGCAAAGAGTTAATCCAGGCCTTGAACCTGATTAAATATAAGGATTTAAGCACATAGTGCTGAAATTCACATTCAAAATCATTCTTGCTTTAAAATGAAACCATGTAGGGTGTTACATATGACCCCCCCAAAACGTACAAGTTTCAGCAAAATTGAAGACATCTTGATCAGAATAGTTTCCATTTGGGCCAGTAGCTTCTTGCAAGTTACCGTTACGCCTCTGTAGATCATTCATTTGATCACCATCCCAAAGGCCTGTAGAAAATAATCGTTCAAAGATTCTCATTTAAAAGACAGCAGCCACTGATTGCTTAACAATAGCAACTTATTGCTTAATGAGGGAGAGTTACAGTGGCGTGACTAGGATTAAACTAGTGGGGGCACCAGCCATCTTCTGGGGGCACCAGCTTTCAGTGGTGTGGTTTTGGGGGCAAGTTTTTGTTTGTGTTGTTCAATATCCATTCATCTGTTTTTTAGTGGGGGAAGGGCACATGCAAACTTAGGGATGCAAACTCTAATGGAATATTGTCTATTATTATTGACCCCTCGAAACTAACAAAAGACCCTGAAAGACCAAGGCCTCCTGTATGAATTAAACTCACAAGTTTTGAAAACAAAACTCTTTGTTTCTCATTGTTCACTGTTAAATGTGTGACTCGATTTTTGTAGCTGGTCTTGTGATACAGTCTTGATTCCTGCAATATTTGAAAGGGTATAATGCATATTTTAAGTGCATGCAGGTGAATATAGTGGGGAACAAAGGCCACATTCAGTTGTTTCTGTACAACAACAACAAACTTGTTTCTCAAAATTTCTCACTCTATTTCTTTTCCTGCTGGGTTGAGCCCAAAGTTAATCACAAAGTAAGAGCCTGGTAGAATTAGACTGCAATTTAACTGCATTTTCACATGCTGTGCCCTACCTAACAATCCCTTTGATCTCCCCATGTAGTCTTGACCAGGCTGTAGGGAGATATCAGCGAAGCCATTGCGGATGCTGACAGTGAATCGAATATCCTCTGGATAGATGGCAATTATTTGGATTGGATCTTCCATTCTCTGCACAGTGAAATTCCCAAACTCCAAACCTGAAAAGAATTTTTCATTCTTTTTTAAATTTGTCATTTCATGAAAACTAAGGCCAGAAGAGGGAAATAATCAAAACAGTGACTTGATACTGCAAGCTTGCCTCACCTTCTGCAGTAGGTGAAACAGTGTTGCCGTTCACCTTTGTTTCTAAATCCGTCCCTTCACTGTTCACCTTTACCTCAATCTGCAAGCAAATAAAAATGATCATTTAATTCATGGTAATAGTTCTCTTTTGTCCATGAACGTGAACGAAAATAGCAATGCACATTAACGTCTGTTTCATTTTTATTCCTAAAGGCTGACAGATATATTCTCATCGAGTTAAAACATGAATGCTTTTTAAAAAGTTACATCGAGTTTGAGGCAAAATTCAATGATTTACCACCTCCAAAACCCCTCCTGCAATCATTAGCCAGAATGAGAACACCCTATGTTTTCTATGAGTACAAGAGTCTTGACAAAAAGTAGCCACTAACCCTTGCATCACCGTCAGCTTCAGCAGCAAACGCGGCAAAGAATGTAGCCAGGGATAGCTGCTGGGTTTGGGAGTTGAAAGCTCGCTGTGTCCTGCCTTGCAGCTCAAAGTATCTTTGGCCAGCGTCATTTTCAAACAGAGCCACAGTGTATTCACCCAGGCCATTAAAGGTGTACTCCATACCGTCCAGCGTCCGCAAATGGGGATCTCCAAAGAACCATGCTGGTGGGTCGACAAAGGCAAGAAAAAAAATGTTTTCACTGCTGGTTGTTGTTGAGCTGCTCATCAGGCTTGAAAATTAGGTAGTACAGAAGGTGCTTCACACAAGGGCTTTTGGATGTGTAGGGGTTATTTTGGGGGGGATGTCTCTCATCCACACATTTCATACTTCATCCACTTTTTCCCTCATCCAAAGACTCCATCAACATTTTTCTCCAGCAGAAGTTTTTTATTGCAGGGTGGGCAGAGGTGATTAATTTGTTGGTAAATCTTACTCAAATCAGCTGAACAGACTGGATTGAACATGCGAACATCACATTATCAAATTATTAGATGTCCGTAGTTAAAGTTCTGATCTGGATTAAGTTTTCCACATTTTCACTGCATCACATTTATTCTTATCCATAAATACCTCAAGTCAGGAAGTCAAAACAAATTGAAAATAACAAATTTTTTAATCATTTTGTTCAACAAGTCTATTTCATTTTCTCTGGCCATGCTATGGTATGTCCCTCTTGCAGGCAGTCGTAGACAATCTCCTTACATAAAGAATGGCTAAAGACTGGCCATGTGATCGGTTTTCAGCCAATAGGAATGGCTAAACTATTTTGAGCAGTAATGGGTATACTTTACTCCGAATCTACAATGAAATGAGGGCAGCTTGAGGATTTTTTTAAGGTTCTGTACAAACAGGAATTGTTTTTCGTTTGTCATCCAATTTGATGATGCATTACAAATGTCAAAAAAGTTTCACTTGAAAAGGGATATAATTTGAGTTTCATCAGCAATGATACTTTGAACTGATTCATGCAGGCAGGTTAAGTTACATTTTGACACCATAATTTTATTATATTCTATCAGCTCAGTGCTAAAAGGTCATTATGGCACAAATGTAATATTTGAAAAACCTCCTAGGGTGTCACTCTGGGCATGAAAGGAAATGAATTACTCTACTTTCTTACTTTTATTTATTAAATTATTTTTAGGACCAACATATTTCATTTTCAACCAAATTTCTTACCCGAATTCATGTTTCAAACAATCGTTTGAATAATGACTTCTTAGTGTAATTTTTGAATAAGGACCTTTCAGCAGTAATTATCGAGGTATTGCGACAAAACAGTCACTAGCACTCCAACTCAACACAACAGGACACAAGACAACAGTAGACCAATTATACACAACTTACTCCTCCATGGTGGTCGATACCTTGACCAGTTCTGACGCGGTCTCTTTGCCACATACAGACTACACAATGTCGATTGCTCACAGCAATAATAGCGGGGCAGTACGTCTTCCTCTGTCAATCAAGATCAAACACAAACAAGTCACTGGAGATCTGCCAGGTGCACTATATCACTTATGGTCGATACATGGTTTATTAGAATAGCTCAAACTTAGTAAAGTTTGTCAGATAAAAGCTAAGAGTATAGACCTAAACTTAACTTAAAAACTTGATACATTATTGAAACATTAATTCTGTACACAGCATTATGGCAAAAATCAGAAGTGAAGATTCCAAAAAGATGAATAACAAAGTGTTGTAATAAGTTAAACTCTATACTTTTTTTTTTCACATTTAAGCACTTTCAGACAAACACTGATGAGCATACAGTGTTAAAAATATACGACGATGTAAGGACAAGACCTGTAATGAAAAATTCATAAACAGCTTGCAACATGAACATGTATTAACATTTGATAATGCCTCCTGAGATGTGATATTGCCCGCTGCATAAAATAAAAAGCTCTGGCACCTGGATACAAGACAGTTTACTAATACTCAATCCTTATTGGTCAAGAGTCTGCATGGGAGGTAGCAACGGGAATGTGCCACATCACACGCGGCAAGTCTCTGTATGTGGAGATTCTTCTGGACAATTTGCACAAGGGATATACATGTACCGTAAAACGGACGGAGGTATTCGGGAAAATGAAATGAATGAAATCACAAAAGCATTGGAAACCTATCATGTATTGACTTCTTTAACTGACTAACCGGCTTAGGGGCATTAGTCACTTCCATTCACACATTTAAGGCCGGCCAAGCATATTTATTCCCTTATTAACCTCTTCCCAATGCAAAGTGCATATTTGGAGACACGTGTATAATATTAACAATAATAATTGAAAATCTATAATACGCCGTTTTCAAAAAAATGATCAACTGTGTAGTACAAGACTGACTGACTGACTGACTGACTGACTGACTGACTGACTGACTGACTGACTGACCGACCGACCGACCGACCGACCAACCGACCGACCGACTGACTGACTGACTGACAATGCGCTAGTACCCAAACCGCAGTATGGGGATATGTCTGTCCCGCCAGCAGGGAAAATACTTTTACCGAGACCTACCCTGCTGGCATCAGTGATATTTTGATCCCTCAAACCCCACGTACGCTAAAAGAAAAGTAATTATACTAGACACGGTGATATTAAAATTACGAATCACAGCTAAACCTATACATTATAATTAAAAATAACAATAACAACCCTGCTAGATAAAACTAATGAAATCAATCCATAGGTGCTTACGAAATCGGAGCTGATCATAAACAGGACTATTGATGCGAAGAGGAGGGTACCTCTCCATAACTGAGGCCACACGTCCACTCCAGACTCCTGAAACAAGGCCCCACCATCGTGTGCTATAGCAACACAATGGGCCAGGAAAGCCAATACGTTGAAACCGATGCGCAAAGCAAAGAACTAGATGTAATGAACAAAATGTAGGCAACCGCAATCAGTTATCTGTGTGTACAGTAATGTACACATTAAGACAGGGAAACGGCACAAAATATAGCTCGTCAAATCTTTCTATGGGATTACATGATGAAGCAAATGCTGTGTTCATGGGGTTCAAGTATTTATGTTTATCTGGTTTTTCAGCATGAATTTAACATTTTCCCAAGCACTTTGAAAATAACTGCCAAAATTGTAACAAACGGTACGGTAGGCACTGTTTTTCAGTTAACTGCTTTCAGTACTTTGCACACTTGCACTGTTAATGGGTGTTTTCTTTGTTTAATGGTAAATTGCATTAAAATTCCATTGTGTCCTGTTGACAAATGAGTGCCTTTTATGACAACCATGAAGTAGTTATCGAGCATGCATAGAGTTTCTGAATGCCAGAAAAGAAATCTTGAAAAGATTATGAATGGCCTTCCAAGTCATGGTTAGGAAGTGTCCATGGTATGAATGCTTTGACTGTGTGTTTAAGTAGCTAATTGAAAATAGATAGAGGAAAATCTGAATGATCTACATTAAAAGCAACTCTTGAGTTTGATAAATTTGAGAAGCTGTACATGTTGTCCTTTGTTAAATACTCATCTGAAGAGAAACACACTTCTAATATTAATTGGTGTCAGCTCTTTCCATCATTCAAATGAGACACAAAGGCAGCATAACTACATCTTGAAATTGGATTTTATGCTCTGATAACTATATATGCTCTAAAATCTCACAGAGCTATGGGATTCAAGTCATACTTACAACTGTTTGCTGGAAATCTTCTTGGCAAAAGATAACTATCTCTCACTAACCACCACCTCCAGTCAAAAAATAATGCAAAAATGATGTTGGGTGGGCAAGTGTTTCTTCGTCGACGAGCTGAAAAGTATGTTAACAAGTTATCTGTTTGACGGTTGTACCAATCAAAGCAGGACAGACGAGGATTGACAAAGTCAGATCCGAGTGCATCGATCTGGTAGATCCAGCGCCCTACCCCAGCATTTCCGACGACATTGCCCGGTCGGTATGTGGAGGCCCCTGGTGGTAAGTCCACAAACACACGGCGCCCGACGGACCCACAAGAGTAACCCATGATGATGTTTTCGGCGGGTGAGAGTTCCGGGTTCCAATTCATACCGCAAGGATCATAGTTAAGGATGACATAGCTATGTGCTGCATCGGTCAGCACAATCGCTTGAAAGGTACTGGTCGCCTGTGAAGAGTGGAGATTGAAATAAATATGAGTCAGATCCCATCTTCTGAATCTCTTCATAGGTGGATACAATTCTGCAGACGGTATCGGTTCCATTCCTGCCAGCGGAGCTCACATGTGCGCCCCTCACTGGGAAGCCATTTTTTATTGAGCTTCATACATCTATCTTATTTAAACTTAAGTATGAAATCAGTGCCAGACTATTTTCTAACGTGGCTTGATCAATCACAAATTTTAAATTCTTCCTCAGCATAAATAGTATTTATTTGTACTGAAGTTTTGTTATAGTGCTTTTATTTTTGTCTACAGGTGCCAAAATAAAAAAAGTCAGCCTCGCTTTCAATTCCATATGGCTGACTTGTGAATGAGACGAATTGCAGATTAGGGCAAACATGGCAATTGTGCGATAGCATTTTGCACCAAAATTAAATGCAGTATGGAGCTACACACTACCCTATCAGGATGGTAAAAAGTTCAGAGGAGGTTTCATGGGCCAAATTAGCATGAGGAATACAATGTCAAGATTAAACCGCTTCAAGTTTAAATGAAATGCCAAGTTTCAAATAAATATCTCAATCTAACATTGCCAAAATAACTAGACACATGGCAAAACAATTTGTGTTAAAATTGATAAAGTTTCATAAATTCAACCTTACAAAGCCTTTTAATTGCAACATGCTGTAATATGGAGAAAATTGTCATAAAGCATTGCCACTATGTTGGTTTTTCTATCATCACAACTGGCAAAAAAGGCAAAATGTTCCAGCCTATTCTACTTTGTCACAGATTTCTTAATGTTTCGCTGTATGAATTGAGTCGTTTTTAATTCAGGCCTATACAAATGTAACACAGATACTACTGGCTGCATCGAAAATTATTGACCTCACACTTACAAAAAAATCATCCTCAAAGACAGTATGGACGTTACTCCATGTGATGGCAAGGGCCCATCTTGCAGAAAAGCTGCCATACTGTGCTGACACAATATTACTCACAGTAGCCAAAAATGCGCCATTCGAGGATTCATCATAAACCTGGTAAAAAACGGTGCAAATAATTATTACATAATAGAGAGTGGCAGTTGGTCACACACTATCACACTTTTTTTCTAGCAGGCATTTTGCTATAATGTGCTTAAATCCCTGTTCCAACATGCCACAGTTAATAAACAAGGCTTTTACAGCAAAATGCCACTGTATATAGCTTGCCAGTTCAATACACGTTATTAAACATACCTGAATTACATATAGCAGCTTCAGAAGTATCATATAAGGTCAGAAGGACAGAATCGTTTAAGGAAATAAGCAGGAAGAGTTGTAATGAGTCACTAATTTTTGGACTTGAGTCGAGTCAAGTTACTGTAACGTAGTGAATCGACTCCAGTCAAGTCATCAGACAAAACATATAGAGTTGAGTTAAGACAGGTATCTAGATCGATTCACTTTGAATCACAAATATTTGAACACAGTGCGATAAATAAACCAAGAAGGAAAGTCATATTTTGGCATTTTTAAATTTACCCCTGGGTTACTAAATTTGGGCACACCCCATGGACAATCTTGATGGCAATAATAATATATAACAAGCAAAATATAATAGTGTAAGCCACTATTTGCAGTGCACTGCAAATATTTTTCTCGCACAGACGTTTGCTTTTAGTGTTGGCACTCGAGTCTTATTAATTTTCACTCGAATTAGGTTTTCTGAAGCATGGCTCAAGTCAAGTCATGTCATTTGCTCACATTGACTTGAGTCGAGAGAATTCATTTACCAGACAGGACTCGAGTCACCAAAACCTGAGTCACTGACTTGAGCTACAACAACTCTGGAGGCAGGAAGAGCTAACTTTTGGTGGGGTGGGTAAGAGAAAGTAATGTAGTATGGATTATGTCTCTAATTTCAATCCTAAGAGGATAGAAGTATTCAAGGAAAAAATGATCACTTCAATGTGTGATCAACTTGTTTACTGGCATGGCACCTACATCAAATAATGTATAATATACTTCCTTATGTCTGGTCCATAATCAGTGATAATTGGCTAGAAGAGAATTTTGCTTGGGCAAGCAGTTGTTATGCAGCTTATTTTTTGCTTTACAGCATGAATGCAGTGCTGTATTTGAGTCCACCACAAGTCCTTTCTCAAGTCCCTTCACAAGGCCAGTCATAAGTAACAGGGTGAAATATGACAAAAGAATGTTTTTTCTACAGTTCATTTGAATAGCTTGTGAATCAACATCAGACAGAATGACTTGTGATGGACTTGTAATGGACTCGACTGCAATTACACTGCACGAATGAAAATTTGATAGACAGATTTGCTGCTGAAAGAAGCCCTGCATTAACTAAACAAAAAGTCAACAGTGGGTAAACATCCAGATTGGTTCTATAATGCGATGTTCCCCTCTAGTATGTCCTCATAAATGTCCACTGAATACCAGCATCTATTTGCCAGCATTGACAGCATATGGCCGTGTCCAAAACAGGCTTACAGAGCTATGGCTAGTTCTATTGTCTGCATGTCTCCACACATTTCCAATGGAGTGAAGGCCTAGAACTAGCTCTAGACGACAGATTCGAATGTAGTCTTTGCTGCTCACCTGATAGAATACATTGTGTGATGAATCAAACCGGCTGGCATCAACGTCTTCCCAGAAGGCAGCTATTATATTTGTACCACCAGAGAAGGATCTACTGGGATTGGGATAGGCATATTTGGCATTGGCAGTGTACCGTAGTCGTCGGAAATTTGAAAGAATAATGACGCCATTATCGGTGAACTGCAAAAACATGGAGGAAACCACAGAAACGTTAATTCAGTTTCAAATCTTCAAGAAATCAAAAGAGCTACCAACAAATTTTCGATACCAGAAAGTATCTCAGAAAGTTGATAATTTCTTGCAACAGGGAATGAAGAAAAAACACAACGCAAAATAATGAGGAAATTAGCTAATTCACAAAAAGTCACAAAAATGTGCGAGGATAATGTCCAAGTTTTGTTTGGTAAAAATGGTCCTAAATTAGGATTGGGGGCTGATATGTTTTGTTTGAATGTCACACAATTAAAACATCAAATTCCATCAAGATTTATAGAGTGTAACAGCACTCCTTTATTTTAGTTGGTGTAATAAATATTCAAGTAACCACGTATTCAGGAATACCAAACACAATTTTCAATTGTATTTCCAGAACCCGTCAATGGGTTTAATCTTGACAAAAACATGTACTTTTGACTTTGAAGTCTAAGGAAGTGAATATTTGACCGTGAACTGATAAAGACTTGCTTTTGCTTCTTTGCCGGCACAGCAAAACGTTTAACTTCAATGAATCTTCATCAGGTTACATGCTTACATTGCTATTATTAATCCATATTCATGAGATGGATGGGGTCCCATAGCACAATTTCAAACTTTACTTCCTTCCTTAAGCTCAATTATTGTCGCTTGGCCCTACCAGAATTTAAACTCTGCCCAACAACACTTTCATCCCTTGACTGTACACAGAGGTATTGATACTTACATATAAAAACTCATAAAGGTCATCACAGTAAGGGAAGAAATACAGAGGCCGAAATGTTGGAGATACCAAGTCTTCAGCGGGTATAAAATTCTGCAAAGGTAAGATTTATAAAGCAGATTGAAGAATGTATGAAACTAGATGTTAAATTTTAAAGCATTTCTGCATCATATGGTGCAAACACGTTTAAGGGCAAATGAAACAAAACAACAGAAAGCATTGTATGGTGTCACTTTAGTTCATGTTATCGTGTTCACGTTTTGTTTGGAATCAGGATTCAGCTTTTTCATTCGCTAAGAGCCATCACTTTGAACTCACTGGTTGATCAGCAAAATCAGAGAGCAGGCTATCTCCGACAGCAACTCCAAATGGAAGAAGATTTGACACTGTTCCAATGAAAGAAAACAAAAGTCTGATTAATCTAGCATGTCACAATTATAAACGAATAGCTAGTAAACAGGTCAAACTTCCTCGAGTGGTCCAAACAGAAATGTTCATCCTTAGGCAACAAGGATTTATGGCCAGGAGGTGAAGATATTTTTCAGATGAGTTCCAAGCACAATTTCAGGAGGTATAATAGCAACTTATAAAAACCAGTTATTTCTTATTAGTTGATTTCTTTTTCTAAGTTCAGACAACTTGAGGAGTATTCTTGGCAAAAAACTCTAGAGGAACTATCAGTAGTGGCTGTTCAGTAATTAACCCAGGTCACACATCTCTTTTCTAGTGACCGGGGATCCGGAGGCAGGATGAGGTTTATGCAAAGGCAGCAGCCAATAACTTGCAGGACATGCAAGTGATCTAGGGTAGACCTAAAACATATATTTTGGGGGGGGGATATTTTGGCTTAAAAAAATTTGGCACTGCCTTAATGGCATTACATTTTGTGGCCTTTCTGAAGGGTAAGGCTAGGTTACATACTTTGGAATAAGAAAAGGAAATTTAAATGTCCCCAAGTAATCAGCTGTCTCTCATTAACTTTCATATAACACACAGAAATGTACCTTTGGTACCAATTCATTCCATGCAACTTCATGTGCCTATAGTGACGTGTGTTACAAGGTAAAAATGACAACCTTTCATACATTCATGAGTACTTATTGCAATGCTGCCACTAATTTACAAAACAATATAAGAAGCTGCATGTATGTTTTGAGTAGCATTATTGTAAAAATTAAACAGTTGGCAATATTTAGGAAAAACGTAAAGCCAAAATCCTTTGGCTAAAGATGGACAGACAAACATCGAAACAACAAAAGCCATAAACAAAAAAGACAAACTCGAACACAATTTGATGACAAATCACTATAACTGAACTGAACATCATTCCTAGAATACAGGTTTTCTTTTTCAGTAAAGGTGAGAATTTTGAAAGATCATCCAGACGATTCCAAAGTAAAGTCCCACACTGGACTACATACTGTATACAGTGATGACGAATGAGCACATTCCATCATTGGAAGCGGAGTCCTGTGCTGTACAGGTAATGATTGTCGTGCCAACGGGGTACATTCCGCCTGAGGTCACTAAAGTGTTATCCTGATCTCTGCACATGATGGTATTAATGGGACCATCGACAGCGTCAACTGCCGAAGGTTGTATAAGCCAGTCGACCATTGCATTGTTGCCCGTCGTGCAATCCTCGATGCCTACTGCTGGGCAAGTAACTGTTGGGCCTTCAGCATCTGAACACAGAAGACAAATTCCATCTTTCAACAAAATTTTAAGTATTTCTACTCGTCAATCAGGCTTTCTGAATTAGAGTTATCAGAGAACAGTGGATAAAAGTTCTAGTCATTTGTCGCCACTGATCAGTGTGTAGTTTTTGAAATTTGAAATTGGCTTACATAACCACCAATACATTTACAAATTCCCTGGCACATCCTTTATGGCAACTGGCCTACATGGAAGGTAATCTGGGGTACGGCCACAGAGCAAAGGAGAAGACAGTGGAGTGAGAGTGTTACCTACAAGGAGTGGCATACACATTTTGCAGCAGCTGCAGCAGTGCACGCCGAAAAGATTGTTGATTCTGTGCAGCAGAAAGCATACATGATATATGTGCATATAACCATATCTAAACCAGACTATGCCACAAGAGCTACTTTTTGCTTTCTTTTACAACATTTAACTTGACTACCTTCAACCTTTCAAGAAATGGCTATACTGTATTTACACATCCATTGATTAAACAAATGAAGGCATGCCGTACCTATCACAGTAAAGATGAAGGAGGCTGAGGCTGGGCAGTCACAAGCATTAGTGACTTCACAAGTGACTACATGAATTCCAACTCCAAACGTCCCCCCACTGAGCCTGACTGCAGCTGATGTCAGGGAGTCTGTACAAATGATGGGCTGATTGTCGGAGTTAGTTGCTGTGACTGCAGGCCAGGTCACAGTAGCAGTTGGCAGGCCCTTATCCGTGTTTTGATTGCTGACGGTAGGTATAGTCAGTGATGGGGATGCTGCGAGGGGGGACAAAACAAAAGTAAACAAAACTCCTAAAAGATTATCACTGAGTATTTTGTCAAAATACGTTTACTGGTTTCAACTGCAACAGATTCACAAATGTATGTGCATAACAAAGGATCGTTCTAAAATAGGTTTTCCAATTGATTTTTCACACCCACACTGCACAAACAGTAATATGGTTTCCTTACCTGATTGTCGTTGAGCTCACTTTTTAATCATGATTTCAATATGCCACCAATAGTTTTCCCTGTAGGGTGCAGAATTGACCCAATTTTTCACAGTTCTAATTCATCCCAAGAGTGCAAAAATCATCTTATTAAACAACAGCACTCTACTGAAAAAGTAATTCTTTTTGTCAACCATTTTGCAAAATCAGGTTATCCCCTCCCTTACAAAAAATCACTAGTGTACCACTTAAAAATAACACCATTCCACATACAAACTACCCATTGAACGTACCAATGGTTACCACTGCAATGGTGTGTTGGAATGCTACCACTGATGCACCATTGAGTTAAGCAATCAGTGGTGTACCAAAGAAATGCACCATTGTTAATTCACTCAATGGTACACCATTACTTGCAACAAATGTTACGATATTAAATGATATACCATTGCTAGAAGCAATGGTATACCGTTCATTGTACCAATGACACACAATGGTACATCATCATTCACTAAACCAATGGTTACACCCAATGGTATACCAGTGATTGCACCCATGGCATTGGTCCCACTCAATGATATGTGCCAATGTGTTAAATATTACTTTGTTATTGTTTACAACCAGCTGATGGCAGATATACTGACATTAACATTTACCATTTGTGAGTATCAACTTGTTTACAACTGGACACCATGTAAGTACCATTCAAAATGGCCCCAACCACTGGACACCATTGCTGTTACCAGTGGTAACTTTTCATTATATTTTTACAACTGTTGGTTACAATCTACACCACACACATAACCTTTAAACTACCACATGAGGTACTACTTGATTCACATTTGGCACAATACGTTTCCATGCCAAGCCATATGAGTATCATTGACGTTGATTAATAGCACCATTGATTTCACTATTGGTCAACAGTTGCATTACTGGATCACCGTTAAGCACCATATTCAGTCACCATATGAAACCATACAGACACCCATTTGTTCACTTGTAAATACCAATGGCTTGCTGTTCAAATCACCAGTCACAATTGTTACCATTAGCTACTACTATGTATCAATGATTTTTTTTTTTTATAAACTAATAAAAAGAACACTGATATTACTAGTTAAAGATATAAAGATAAAGATAAAGATCTGTCTATAAACAGATGGCTTACCAGATATTGTGATAGTAAATGTACACATTCCTGAGTTTGCCAATGAGTCCTGTGCTGTACAGGTCACAGTTGTCGTGCCTACGGGGTACATTCCGCCTGACATTACTGCAGTGTTGTCCTGATCTCTGCATGTAATGGTATTAATGGGGCCTTCAACAGCATCCACTGCCGATGGCTGTATAAGCCAGTCGACTACAGCGCTGTTGCCTGCCGTGCAATCCTCAATGCTTACTGCTGGACAAGTAACTGTTGGACCTTCAGCATCTGATAACAGAAGTCAAATTTGATCATTTAACAAAACTTCAAGTCTTTCTCCAGGTCAAACAAGCTTTCTGAATCAGAGATATTTTAGAGAACAATATCTAAATGTTTGAAGTTCTAAACATCTGTTGAAATTCAGTGTGTATTTTTAAATCTTAAATTTCCCTAACCACCGATGTGAGCACAAAGGTGTTCCCAAATTCCCTGGCACAGACTTTGTGTAGGAACTGGTTTACATGGAAGGTTATCTGACGTACAGCCACAAAGAAATGAGACAAAGAGAAGTAAAAGCATTATCTACAAACAGTAGTATAACTGGGATACAGTTCGCAGGGTACACTGGGGGCCCTAATTTTCTGGAGGGGGCCACTCAATGGGTTTGGTCACGGTTCAAACAATAACGAAGCCTGACTTTCATCAGAATTTTTCCTTCTCTAATTTCTAAGAAGGCACAAGGGGGTCCACAAACCTCAAGTAGGAGTGGCTAATGTCCATATGTCCCCTCCTTATTAGTTATGCCGCTGCCGACACACTGAAAACAATCATCTGTGCTACAGAAAGCCTATAGGGTTTGCTTGCAAATGACAATATTTCAAGCCAAATGATGCTACACAAGATACGTTTTGATATCTCTCACAACCTCTAACTTGACTACCTTTAACATTTCAAAATAATTACTGTGTGTATATGTGCATCCGCTGATGAAACATATGTACCTATATATATATACCATACCTAGCACCGTAAAGTTGAAGGAGGATGAGGCTGGGCAGTCAGCAGCATTTGTGACTTGACAGGTGACAGTATGAGATCCAACTCCAAATGCACCTCCTGTAAGCCTGACTGCAGCTCCTGATGGGGAGTCTGTACAAATGATGGGCCGACTGTCAGAGTTGATTGCTGTGACTGCAGGCCAGGTTATAGTAGCAGTTGGCAGGCCCTCATCAGTGTTTTGATCGCCGACAGCAGGTACAGATAGTGATGGGGATGCTACAAGGAAAAAAAGAACAAAGCAAACATAACAAACTCTAAAAAATTATCACAGAATATTTTATCCAAGCACATTGAAACGTTTTAACTTCCACAGATTCACCGATGTGTGTGCGTAACAAAAGAACAATTCTAAAATAGGTTTTCCCAGTCATTCTTCACATCCATGTCACACAAATTCACCAGAACGGTACTTCAATTATATCCCCAAAAGTTGTGGAGCGTAATTCCTATAATTCTGATTTCAAAATGCCACCAAAGGATTTCTTTTAAGGTACAGAATCAAACAAATTTCTCACAGTATTCTAATTCATCCTAATTTTCAAAAAATCATCCCACAAAGCACAAGCATTGTACTGAAAAACCAAATTGCTCTTTTGTCAATCATTTTGGAAATTTCATCCCTTTAACCCAGACATGGATATTTAAGGTGACAAAATTTATCATAAGCTACCAACACAAGTCTATTCCTGATTTTTGTGTTAATTTTGCAAAGATGATTCATAAAAATTAGACAAATGTTGTAAGTCAAAAAAATACGAGTTATATTCAAAAGAAGTCTAAAGGATGTGACACATTTGCCAAAAGAATGATCAAGTTTATCATAAACAGAATACAATGGCCAAATTGCCCAAATTAAGTGCGAAGTATGAACCTTTCACATTTTCAATGCAGTGTCAATTTCTAGATTATATAATAGCAATGAGGATAATTAAAATGCAACAAATGCAATCTACTGGTGGCTTTTGGGGAAATTGAAAGTAGGAATTAAGATAAACATTGCTGGTGGCCAAACTAAATATTTTTTCTCGGGAGTCTGTATGAAATGCTGGTGTTAAAATAATTGGAAATCCTATATTGTGTATGAGCTACAAATGCACATAAATACAAGTGTTTCAGATACATGTATCTTCCAACATTACTGGACAACGTATGCTGCTTAAAGGCACCTTTCCATATGCACGTCAACACTTGCGCCAAGCGTTGCATATCCGTCAAAATCACTTCCGGGGCAACTTTGATGGCCGAACACAACGCACTTGTGTGTTATGTTAATGCATGGAGGCAATGTTTGTGTCTGAGAAAGTGAAACGCAAGAATGCATTGTGTATGAAATGTGCTTCAAAAACGTACATCTGGAAAAGTGCTTTACTGGTGAAAAAAATTAATCCAGTCCTCCGGGAGACAATTCGCAAAAAACATGGGAATTAACAGTGACAGGAACCAAGTAGGAGGCCTTCAAATGTTTTTTTCATATTTTACGTGTTGTGTCTGAGCTTATAGTGAAAATCAAATATAACTTGTGACAGGTAACATCATCAGTCCAGCAATGGAAAGTTTCCACTGTGGAAGACGTTAATAATTTTAAAAAGACCAACAGCAATCACCTATAAACTTTTTCAAATGTATCATACGGCAATTGTTATAGTTGCCTTTCCCATGCAACGTACATTTTCAGTGATGAAACACTAGGAAAAAGGAAATTAAAACAGCATAAATCATTGCAACAGAAGGTTATCTACAAGTAAAAAGATGCTGATATTACCAAATTAATACCTGAGATCGTGATAGTAAATGTACACATTCCTGAGTTTTCCGAAGAATCCTGTGCTGTACAGGTAACAGTTGTCACGCCTATAGGGTACACTCCGCCTGAAGTCACTGCGTTGTTGTCTTGATCTCGACATGTGATAGCACTAATAGGACCATCAACATCGTCCACTGCTGAAGGTTGTGTAAGCCAGTCAACCACTGCATCATTACCCGCAGTGCAATCCTCAAAACTCATTGCTGGGCAAGTAACTGCTGGACCTACAGTATCTAAGGCATTCACAAAGAATTAAAACAGAGGGATGAGCAATCTATGGAACACAATTTCCAACAAAGGCCCTGACAGCATGAATAACAAAATACTTATTTTTGTTGCAATAGGCAAACCCAGCTCGGACCATCCTTACATGAAAAAGGTCTTGACATTCACCTATCTTACCTGCGCAAATACATGTGTACCGAAAAACTGTTAAACTTCTAAAGTGCAATAACTGTCCAAACGTAGGCTGCTCTTTGCTTTACTATCAAGGTTTTACAGCTCCTGAACACTGCGATGTTCAAAAATAAATAAAACTGAAAATTAATCCATATATGTATGTCATACTGGTCACAGAAAACACAAATGTTCAGAGTAGCATTCATTACCTGGTGGTACTGATGAGGTGGTGGCGGGTGGCTCTGGTGTGGTGGTAAAGTCAAGGCCTAATGTGGTTGTGGCATCTGAACTTGATGTGGTGGTGTATGGGCCCGATGTGGTGGTGGTATCAGGGCTAGATGTTGTTGTGGCATCTGGTCCTGATGTGGTTGTGGCATTTGGCTCTGATGTAGTGGTAGCAACTGGGCCTGATGTAGTGGTGGCATCAGGGCTTAATGTGGTTGTTGTGTCTGGGCTAGATGTGGTTGTGGCATCTGGCCCTGATGTGGTTGTGACATCTGGACTTGATGTGGTGGTGTCTGGCCCTGATGTGGTGGTGGCATCTGGCCTAGATGCGGTTGTGGTGTCTGGGCTAAATGTGGTTGTGGCATCTGGCCCTGATGTGGTTGTGGCATCAGGGCTAGATGTGGTTGTGGCATCTGGACTTGATGTGGTGGTGTCTGGTCCTGATGTTGTGGTGGCATCTGGGCTAGATGCGGTTGTGGTGTTTGGGCTAGATGTGGTTGTGGCATCTGGCCCTGATGTGGTTGTGGCATCAGGGCTAGATGTGGTTGTAACATCTGGCCCTGATGTGGTTGTGGCATCTGGCCCTGATGTGGTTGTGGCATCTGGCCCTGATGTGGTTGTGGCATCTGGCCCTGATGTGGTTGTGGCATCAGGGCTAGATGTGGTTGTGGTGTCTGGGCTAGATGCGGTTGTGGCATCTGGCCCT